CCTCTTCCCCAATTGCCTTAATATAAATAATAATAATAATAATATAAATAAAATTATAAAAAAATAAAAATAATAGAATAAAAAAACTAAAAGATTGTCTTTATTGATATTGACTTAGTCAATCATGATTAGCTAATGATGGCTTTAACCAAACAAGCACATACTTAGGAGTATGGCTGCAACAATTAAACTAAGAATTAACTATACTAATTATACGAGCTAAAAGTTCTGTCAGAAACATCTACCTCTCTTTTAAAACATCTCACCACGAAAACTAACGGGTTCTCTTGGAGAACCCGTGGGGGGAAGAGAAGGAAAAAGAGGGGAGGAAAAGGAAAGAAGAAGAAAAAGAAAGGAGGAGGAGGGAACAGATTTATGGATGGAGAAGTCGAAAGCAGAGAGTAGAGAGAGCAAGGGGGCTAGGTTGGTAGTAATGGAGAGAAACATATTAAGTAACGGACAATAAATGGTGTAACGGATAGGGTGAACCTATCACTGTACACACCTTCCCATCACACATCTCACCACACACTCACAGTTTCCATTATGCATACTAACGATCTCCGTTACACAAGTAGCCGCTAAACTTCTCCATCTTCTTTAACTCTAGAAACTACTGGGTTTCTTAATCTTGCTACCATTTATGTAAGAAGCAAACATCCAACCCAAAAAAGTGTCACAAATAATCAAAAAGACATTTCCAGCAACTTACACGAAATTAAAAAAAAAAAAAGCAAAATAAAATATGTTTGAAATTTATAAAAATTCATTATTATCTTCTACGTCTTTTTTTTTTCTCTCTCCTCCATCTAGGTTCTCCTTCTTCCTCTTTCCTTCTTCCTTTTTTTCTCTCTCTCCTTTGTCCCATGGGTGAGAACCCACAGGTTCTCATGGTGTGAACCTAGAAATGGGTTCTTATGGTGAGAACCCACGGGTTCTCGTGGTGAGAACCCAAATCTAGGTTCTCCAAGAGAACCCATGGGGGGAAGAGAAGGAAAAAGAGGGGAGGAGAGGGAAAGAAGAAGAAAAAGAAAGGAGGAGGAGGGAACAGATCTACAGATGGAGAGCTTGAAAGTAGAGAGAGGGAGAAAGGAGAGTTGAGAGAGCAAGAGGGTTGGGCTGGTAGTAACGGAGAGAGACAGATTAAGTAACAGACAATAAATGGTGTAACGAAGTGTGTAACGGATAGGGTAAACTTATCACTGTCCATTTAGTATAGTTGATTATATTATGAGTACAATAAAAGATAACTTTATCTTTACAAAATTTTTTTCACTCATTACAAAATTTAATTTTAGATATTTTTAATATGGAAGTAATTAAATTTTAACCATTTAAACATCTTAAGAGACGTTAGGATGTAGTACAATTAATCGTTGCTTTGTACGGCCGCATTCGAATCCGCAAAACATGGCGAACAAGATGACCAATATGAAAATCACAAAGCTGGCGGCTCTAGAAAACTGTAGATTGAAATCCATTGTTTCTTGCAATGACTGGTCGTATATATGGCATGGGTAAGAGACAGACAAATTCGTTATAGAGTGCTACTATAAATACATGCAGACAACTCCCCAAAACCTTCTCAAAAGCCACTCATGCAAAATAAAACATTGAACTTAGAACCAAACTATTTCACACATTAATCCCTGGACAGTAGCTCATCTATTTCCAAATTGCCCTTGGTGTGTGCTTTGTGCTGTTAATGTTCAAGCCTTTTTGCCATCCAACATGCATGCTTGGACTGGGGAGGCAAACCACCAATCCTTTGATATCCGGCCATAAGTTCGTTTTCAGCCACATAAAAGAGTGGTATTTGATTAATTCCACAATACAATTACCTGTAACATTGTTTCCCATAAATATCTTTTGATTCCGACCATTCCACAGGTGCCAGATGTTTGCAAACCATACTACCGTCCATGCTTGCTTGAGATTTCCTTTCAAGAATAATCCTGCATGCTATTGTAGGTATTCCCATCCTTTGTCTTGTTGGACTACATGAAGACCCCACCAAAAAAGAATTAAATCATAATATGATTGATCTAAATATAAAAAGAGGAAAGAATATGATTTGATTATAGAAAGAAAGAATATCAGATTATAGAAAGAAAGAATATCATGCTATTATAAAGATTAATCAAATCATGAGAAATAAAATTTTCAATTGATTGATTTTAAATATTTGATATTGATTGTAATATTATTAATAAGAAGATTTCTAATTAATTATTATTTCCTTATATTATGTATCCCTCACTTTATAAATAAAGTTGCTCATATGTAAGAAAAAAATAAAGAGAAATAAACATGTAAAACCCATAGAAGCTTTTGTATCGTGGACTAAGAGGGCCTTGATGCATAATGATATTTTGGCACTATCTCAACCCATGTAATATCATATTTTCCTATTTCTCTCAATTATCTTTTATTTAATTCATGTATTACTATGTTGTCATGAGGTTTTTACCATTAGAGATTTCCTCACCATATTAGAAACTTCCTCATATTAACATGTAGACTACACCAACCAAGCTTTTGTACTAGTAAAAAGAAGATGATTTATGCTTTCTGGATGTTGTCCACAGAGAGGACAAAACAAATCATCCTTCACCCTTCTCAATCCCCTCTTTAATAGATTGTCTTTAGTTGGTATTCTGTTCTGTGTAGCTTTCCATTCAAAGGCAGAAACCTTCAGTGGTACCATTTTGTTCCACATCAATTTGTAATTGATGTTGCATCTAGGATTTGGATTGGTTTGTAACAACTTATAAGCTGATTCTGTTGTATGTTTGGCTTTAGAGTCCATATTCCACACCCAGTAGTCAACTTGACCTTATCTTAGTTGTCATTTTTGTAATACATCTATGAGTTCCTGCAAAAGATCACATTCCTAGGCAAAAAGATTTCTTCTCCAACTCCACCTCCAAATCCATTCACCATTTCTCCATTCCCCTTCTCTGAAACTAAGGCTTCTCTATCGATAGAAAACATGAACAATTTGTTAAACCTCTCTTTTAACGAAAATCTCCTACCCATCTATCATACCAAAACGATGTTTAGTACCCTCCCTAACACTCTCC